CTGGGGTCCCACAATGACCTCAGCCAATTCCCTCACAAAGGGCCAGGATGTTGCCCACAGTCTACATGGGTTCTGCAAGCAGTTACTATATAGGGCATGGGCCTGGGCAGCCACCTCTCCCACTGCTGTGCAAGAGGGAAAGGTCTGTTGGGGGGTGGGGGGAGGAGTGGTCCATGTCCTGAAAATGTAGCCTGCATGGCTGAGGATGGGGGTCAGCATGCTGCTGGAGCAGCCCATGCAGTTAGGGGGTCCTAGGGGCCCACCCCCACAGCGTGCAGCCTGTGCAACGCATGCTGGTGTTATCTGGGGGGCCACAGCCTCACCAGGTCTGAACAGCCCTGGACTAGCTTATCCTTGAGATCTGTTACTAACTTGATCATGGTCATTGTGGTTAATTAAATAGAAATTGTAGGCATATACTGCAGAGACGTGGAAGAGATCTCAAGGATAAGCTAGTCCAGGGCTGTTCAGACCTGGTGAGGCTGTGGCCCCCCAGATAACACCAGCATGCGTTGCACAGGCTGCACGCTGTGGGGGTGGGCCCCTAGGACCCCCGCACTCTACGGGCTGCTCCAGCAGCATGCAGACCCCATCCTCAGCCATGCAGACTACATTAGCAGAACCTGAACCGCCAAGGAGGCGGCTGGACATAGAACGCCTCTGGGCCGGGCTCCTCCTGCCTCCTGCCCAGCCCGGCTCCAACAACCGCGTGCCCTGCAGCCCCCGCCCAGCCCCAAAGTGCCCCCAGCTCTGAGCGGGAATTTACCTCGTGCCTCCGTCCATCATGCATGCGGGCAGGGCGCAGGCCATGCTGCAGCTCCCCCGGCCATGCACCTGGGCAAGGGGCAGAGCCAGAGAAGAAGCTGCATGTGCAACTTCATCTAATCAGGCGTGGCTGGGGCAGCCCCGCACCGCGCAGCGCTCAGGGCAGCGGTGGCAGGACCCGGCTCACTGATGAGCTCAGCCCTGAGGAGGTAAGCAGCTCCCCTCCCCTCACTGCCGGTTGGAGCCCGCGGGCCGGCCCTGCCCGCCTCACCTCAGCTCTGCCGCAGCTCCGCGCTTGGTGGTGGTGCCACCACGGACCAGATAAAATAGCTTGGCAGGCCACATGGAAGCCTGCAGGCCATATGTTGGACAAGCCTGATGTAAATGATTAGATGAAAGTGGATTCGGTTAAGATCTCCATAGCCATCACAGCGCAGCTCCTAAACACAATACAACATTTGGTATTGTTGTACATGGACCTGACCAGGTCCAACAAGCACACAGCTGGATTTAGAAGTGAGAGTAAGAATGGTGTACAAATTACCACACCAGTTAATGGATGTGAAGCATCCTTAGGAGGTTTAGTTTACAAATTGCAAGATGGAGATGGTCCAAATCATGCAGCAAGGTAGGATTTTAACTTGGACCCTTCTGTGAGGTGCTTTTCCTAGTGCACCCCTCTCTATCTGTATCTCAGCATGAGTTATAGGAACACTGGGTTGGGTTCTTAGCCCTTACTTCAGTGCGCTAGCTGAAACGATGCAAAGAGGTTCCTTCAGTTGAAGTGCTCCATGAAAGGGCCCAGGATAGCGACACAATTGCATTTTGATGGAGGAGAGGAACTGCATCCTATCTGCCCTTTGCCCCATCAGAGCCTAGAGGGGGTGGGTATATGGCCATGTCCCTCTCCAAGGTGGATTTACTGGCATGGATGGAGTTCTGAGCACAGACTTGAGGATTAAGTCACTGGTTTCAGTGGAATATTTGCTTTTATTTTTCAGGACCAGGCTCTTGAGAGATTTGCTTGGGTGAAAGCTGAGTAAAGACCTGATGATGTGTCCTTTAAGCACCTCTTCTTTCTGGAAAGTGAGTCTTTTGTTGGTGGCATTGTTGTAGTGCCAAGCATCAGACCAGATGGAAAGTCCCATCCCTTTGCAGACAACTGTGCCTGTGGATGCTGGCTGCCCCTTCAGTAGAATAAGTCAAGTGGAAGCTGAAGAAAAACTAGAAGGGAGATGTCACTAAGAAAAACTTGAGGCTGCCAGCTTAATAAGCTTTTCCAAATAAGTTGTTTCTCTCACTGACTTGGACAATGCTCTTTAAGTCATGGCCATGTGATATGACTAAGCCAGCTAAAAATACAAAGCTGCTTTGGAATAGGAATTACAAAAATAATTGAAGTGATTAATAGTTATGCCAAACTTTAATTTCATCAAAGAGCATGGCAGTAACAGTATTTAGCTTTCCATGAAGTAACCCATTCAACATGACTTTTTCTTTTAGAGCATGTTCCCAGTCAAACTTTCAGGTGTGCAGAGTTGCCAGCAGTACAAAGGAATGTGTTATTTTATCTGCTGAAAAAGAGAGCCCTCCTATAGTAAAGAAAAGGCTTTTGAACAGTG